TGGGGGAGGCTCACCCCCAGACGTCCCACCGCCCCGCGAGAAACCAGCGCCGCAGAGACCGGTAATCCCGGTACGAACACAGAAACCGAGTAATCTACGCGTGGTTTTACAACAGTGGGCTCCACGGCTTCGATCCGGGGTTGGGCTCCGCGGCGAGGGCGGTGAACCCCCGTTTCGCTGGGCTCTCACACCGAGATGCTTCTCTTCACAGGGGGCAATTCGCAGTTAACGTTCCCGCTCCGATGCACGGGCTCAGCGCTGCCGGAGCAGAGCACGCTCGCGTGCCGCCTGACCCGCCGTTGGGAAACTGAGTGGGAGGGAGAAGGAGCCTGGGGCAGAGCCAAATTAGTATTACCCGGTAACGGGATTACAGTGAGTACTAACCTTGAATCTCCTGACCCCTGTGCAAATCGCGCTGTCCGGGACCCTGCAAAGATGGTTTAACCACGCCAGCACATCTACCCCGTGGATGCCCCGGAGATCTGCTCAGCACAGAGGTACCCGAGACCACAGGAGTCTCTGAGCAAAGGCACCCCAAAACAGCAAACAAGGGATTTGCCTCAGAAAGCACAACAAAATGTGCCTGAGGTTAACGCGCTCTCCTCCAGGAGGTTATAGACGTTTCTCAGAGCAGGTTATTGTTCCTCCAGGTTTCTCGGAGCAGGTTATGGTTCCTCCAAAGCCAAGCTGAAATGACAGAGCCCTCATTTGAGAAAAGAGTTCTAGTTATGCAAGAACTTCTCCCATCCCTCAGCCTTTCACAAGGAGGTTTGGAGGGCGCGGAAGGGCCCGAGGATGACCAGCTCCAGGGACGGGTGAGGACACCTCGTGTCGCCACATCTCCCAGCACGGACACCAAGGGAGACAACTGATCGCCTGAGCCCCGCAGTACCCCGAGGCAGCGAGGGGCTCACCCAAGGAGCCGTTCAGCTGCACAGCCCCCTGCTCCCTTCCCCAGACACACAGTCCTGCTCCCGAGGGCAAAACCCGGAGAGGCTTTGGGGGGACCCCAGCAAGACCCTCTGCATGGCTGGAAAAGGCCTTTGTCCGCGCAGTGCTGCAGGGACGGAAATCGGCGCTGCTGGGCTTGGGGTTTGCACAAGTCCAAGAGCCTTGGGCTCTCAGTGGAAGGAAACAAAGGTGTAGATCAGTTACAAAACCTGCCTCCTTATCTGGGATTAACTTGAAGGCAGATTTTAAAATCTTCATTAGAAAGAAATGGTATCTTACTTACAGGCATGTGAAGTGTTACTGGTTCAGGCTGCCTTCACTTGGACAATCTCAAACAAATGCCCCGAATGTCAAGGTCACATTAACTTCTGCAGAAGTCTTGGTTTAATACCTAACTGGGAATCGCCTTGTAGGTTGTGATCGGAACGTGGGAAGACCAAACAGAAAGTCAGCTTTATTTTTATTTATTAAAGGTGAGGGGGTTTTGGCTCACAGACTTTTTTTTTCCACTGTGGTTATACAACACTGAGCATACTCTGATGCTCCTGCAGCACAGACAAAAATGATTGCTCCGTGCTGTGCTGAAACAGTGAAAGGACAACTTCTGTCCACAAACGTTGTATGGCCTTACATCACCTGCAGGGAAGCGTAATCTCACCTAGCTACTGATTTCAGCGGGACTGATGTGTAAATAGAGCTCCTGTGCATGCCTAAAAGGACTTCAGACCCACCTGAGACAGACAAACCGTAACACGGGGCACATCCATGTACTCTGCTAGAGGAAGGCTGTGAGAACGTTAGTGAGAAGGGAGCAGGAGCTGCTGAGGGAAAAGGGATGAACACTGTCAATCTAATCCCAATCTTACTGTCACCCTGGGGGCATGAGGTACCCACGCCAGCCAGGGGCTGGAGACCCTTCCCAGACCCTCGGCAGATCTCTGGCCTGCCTCGCCCCATGTCCCCTCTGCAGCCACGGTCAACTTTTCACATTTCAAAGACAAAAATCTCCCTTCCTGTACCAAAGAAAACATTGTCACTGCTGCCACCAATCAAACACCTCGTGAACAAGATGCACATTGAGGAAAACCCTTCCTGCTTCTAAAACCAAGCACCTACCACCAGAGGTCTGGTTGTAGTTAGCATTTTACTACGCGGCTGCGTTGTGAGCATCTTTATGGCTTTGGTGTCTGAGATTCACCCATTCTGAGGATAACAGCCATGCCCTCGACCGTCAGCGCCGTTGTGCTCGACGTGGTGCAGACATGCTGTGTCCAGACACGCCGCACCCCAGCTGCCACCCAGGCAGAGCTGCAGCCAGCGGTCACCCAGCGGGTCAGCGGCTGAGCCAGGACCAGCCCGTGCCTCCGGCCAGCACCAACAGCTCTGCTCGGTTAGTGCCCGGACGGTATTTACCCCAGCCCTTATTAGGGTTAATTAGCTCCTGAATTAGCTTCTGGCCGTTGCTGAGGGCAATGCCTGGAAAGGCTGTCAGTCATTTCACGTGGGGAGCGATGCGTGTCACCTCTCCAGCACCAGTGCCAGTGCGGCGGAGCAGCACAGCTCCCGTGGCCGGGCGCTCGGCAGA